CTTGTGCTTCTAGCTTTTTGATACGAGCCTATTTTATGAGTATAAGTGAATAATGGGTATATCAGGAAAAAGTCATGATGATACTTGTATACAAATTTGCGTCAATGTATTACCTTTCCCTTATTGTAAGCAGCAGCAGCAGATTCTCTGTTCTTAATTTTTTGGCGCTGTTTTTGAAAGCTAATCTGATCAGCAGTTAGCTCGAAGCCTTTTTTCTTTCTCCCTCTAGGTATATTTTGCATTGCCCTCAACTTACTCTCCATATACCTCCAGCATCTGCCTCTGCAACAAACCCCTTTCTCCAATTTCTCCCTTGTATTGCTACACTTGCTTGTTCTCTTCATTGTTTTTTGAAGAATCTTCAGATTTCCATCCACTTTCTTGGCAAATTCTTCTCCATAGTCAGTGGCGGCTTTGCTTATATAAGCGGCCTTGTTAATTTCCATATGTGGACTAGTCGGGATCTCAAAGTCTATAAATGCGAAGAATGCAGGATCCAATGGTGGGAGATCATCAAAGCACATTAGATCGTCAGAGCTCGTGTTTTCAGGATGAGTTAGTAAGAGATTTAAGCTTGGGGATCCTGTGATCAGTTGGTCATTAGTGTCTGCTTGTTTAGGTAGCTCATAAACCAATTCTTTTAATAGGGTTGATGGTGGTGTTGGTGGATATGCAATTTCGTGATTTTGAGTTGATGATTTGATGTTCGCGTTGAGATTCTCTAAGCTGAAATATGTGGGCTGATCAGTGTCAGAAGTGTCACTCAGCTCAATATAAACAATGTTCATGTTTTTGTTCTCTTCATTAGCGAGTTTCATGTTATTGGCATGACTCGACAGTACAAAGTCAGAGCTTAAGGAACCTGGGAGTTGGTTACTAGAATCGTTGCTGTGATTAGGTGACTCAGAATCCAAATCTTCTGTCAATGGTGGGAGGTCTGAGATTTCACGAGTTTGATCTGACAACATGGCTTTAGTCTTGACCTGCTTCAATATTGTTGGGTTCGAGCTTGAAGGCTGAAACCTTCTGGTATTCAGCTGATTACGAACAAAATCATTCTCCATTTCTTCTATCGAAGATAAGCTTTTTACTAAATTCAGATTACTTTCTAACAGTGGATCATATGGTGGCAAAAACTCTTTATCAAACTCCTCAAAATTGCCTAGGAGTTGCTGTTTCCGAAGTTCCAGAAAATCCATAGCCCTGTAACTCCCCTGTATCATTTGATACATACACTTGATTAGTATACGTTTAATCATCAAATGAACACAAAATTAGACGAAAAAGAAAACAATCTGATACATCAACAGATTGAAACAATCTGATACATTAGCTTTTCATCTTCTTAGTGTATATATCAATCAGACAGTGAATTTCAGATTAATTACAATTATGAAGGTTAAGCAACAGCATAAAATGTATAATCAAGACCTTGAATTTCGAGTGTTAACCTGAGTTCTTGGTTTAGTTGTAAATGCAAGTTCTTTCTAGAATTAGTTGTACTTCAAACTTTGAACGTTGGGTAGTTTATATGTTACTGTATGGTTATGTAAATGTAAGGAATTCTAAGCACAAGTTTTTTGTCTCATATTATTGTTATGAGCAAAGCTGTACTTTGTCAGAGTTTTCTGTACTTTCTGTGTACTAGTATGCCTGTCAATATATCTTGGTTTACATGCATTTTTTCTTTTTCTTGTGTAACTTCTTGATATTTCTGCTCAGAAATTCCAAATCATAATTCTTTTCATTTTTTGAGGGTCTTTTAGAAAAAATAGGAAATGGTTGATGGTGAGTTTCGATCCCGCGCCTGGCCTGTAGATTTTATCAAACCCATTACAGTACATATTAAGTAGTTTGCTAACCCGTCTTATGATAGGAGGGACACCCCCATATCTTACCGTATAAAAAATAATATAAAATTAAGTAGTTTGCTGGAGTTGCTTCCTCTCCCAAAAGCTAAGGAAAAAGAAAGAAAATAATATAAAAAGTTGCTTGGTGAAATTTTGTAGACAAATATGCACGATAGTTATTTTGTTTTTCAAGTGAGCCACAAGGGCGGGTGATAAGAATCGATCCCAAGATTTCTTGGAATCGGGAAAGGAACTCTAACCAATTGAGGTATCCCTCACTCAATGCATGATAGATAATTTATCAGCAATTGTTTGAATATAGTTTTTACATTGGTTAATTTGCCAATATAATAATGCTCGTTATTTCATAATAATCTCAATCATCTGGATAGTCTTCATGCATTGTCCCTTGCATGATGACCAATTAGGCAATTAACATTTGAAGCAGTCTTTCCAACAACACATGTACTAAGGTTTTAGTGTGTGTTGTATTTTAGTTTCTTTCAATCAGTCTAGCTGTAATCTTGTTTATGTCATTTAATGAACTTTTTGTAAAAAAAATAAATATTTTATGATTCAAAGACCAAACAAGAGTGATGTAAAGCACCATTCCAAACCAAAAAAAAAAAAAAAAAAAAAGTGATGTAAAGCACTAAATCGTTGGGGTATTTGTAATTTCAAGAGAGATTACAATTTGAAAAAAGGGATGTTCGACTCGACTCGAAAACTTTTTTTATGTGCTTAACTCGTGCTTGTTAAAGTTTCGAGCCAATAAAACTTGCTCGACTCGTGCTCGTTAAAGTTTCGAGTCAAGTCGAGTAGCTCACGATCTGCTCGTTAAAGTTTTGGCCCTTCTAAAATTATAAGCCTTTATTGTTTTTATTCACTTTATATAGTTTTATTTATTTATTTTATTTATTATTAAAGATTTACTCTTTCTTTTTTGATAATATAAATTAACTCTTATTAAGTGTTAAATTTGTTCATGGTAATAACTTTGTTTGTAAATTCTATATTAATAAAATATATTATCAAGTTGCTCACGAGCTTATCGAGTCGAGTTAGAGCTTTCTCAACTCGTGCTCGTTAACATCTTGAGTCGAGTCGAATTCGAGTCGAGCTAACTCGAGCCGAGCTTTGATCGAGTCGAGTCCGAGTTGCTCACGAGCTGCTTAACTCGATTAGCACCCCTAATCTGAGGGTGATACATCAATTTGATAAGCATAATTATTGTAAAGGATAAATGTGACTACATCACCATTATCATGATTAGTTAGTGTAATCCCTTGTATTACTCCTTATCTTTATCAATAGCACAATTGTGAAATACTCATCACTAAACAAGGAAAGATTCAAACTCAAAAATTGATCTTCGGCTCAACTCTATCTTTAGGCACATGGTAGATTTTCTACCAAGTGTTGCCTAACATCAATTTCTATCATTTTCTCCAAACATATATGAAACATCCTCTCCCTATATCGTTTCATCTACGATACGTTGCATGCACACGCTAGCAAAATTACTTATCTCTAATTTGATCTCTCTAATCTGGGTTCTTCAACCCAAAACATTATTTATTTTTTTAATTATTTGTTTTTGTAATCATCATTGATTACTTTAACGAGTACACAAAAGACCACATATGCCATACCCCATACCTAAACAAATTCCACTTAAATAAATGGACATTGGCCTTCATAACTGCATTATATCTTATATCATACCAAAACAAATACCAATTATGCCGCATTTAGCGGTTATTTGGTTGAACATACAAGGAGTACATGAATAATAGTAACTAGTTTGTCTAGGAAAATGTCTCTAATAGAAACTACTAACTGTTGTTCGATTGAGCATAAAAAATATATTATTTTTCATGGAAAGTTCCACTTACCTATTATAGGAAATAATTTTTTTTTATATAAAGTGCAATATCTTATAATCTTAACAACCAAACAATTTAACCTTCTTTTCCATTTTCTATAAATTTTTTACTCAGTATAAATTTGTATATCAACCAAACAAGCACTTAATAATACAAATTGCACTATCAATGCCGCACTTATTTCAAAACTGAAGTGACAATTAATACCACCTACAAAGCATTCCTCTACCATTAGAACTATAGAAGAAAGCATCCATAGACAGGATTTTGATGAAAAAATAAGGGTCATTTCCTTATATAGGCAAGCTAGTTATAGTTTTGGTATATGAAAACGGAAATTATTATATGCAAAAGAATCCTATCATAATTGAGTATATGAGCATCACCATAATTGAAGTGAGATATTGTGAGCCCACCTAAGGCTACACATTACACAAGACAAAATGTAAAAATAAAATCTTGTAATGGCAATCGTCCCCCACAACAAGGCACATGCAAAGCAGTTTGTTACCAAACAAAGTGTGGCTGACCCATCAACCAACCAAACAGATTTCCTTAAATAACATACCAATAACCTCTCTTCTTCTACCATGTTTCTTTTATCCACTTTTCTCTCTTATTATGTCCCAAGTTTTATAGCTGATATTTTTATTATGTATTCCTACAAAATTTCCCTATAGACATACATATTAGCCTTGTGTTGTGCCTGTCTCGCATAATCGTATTCTAACACGTTAAAATGTTGCTCTTATTCAGTAAGTTATTGTGAGTTTGTCTCATGCATTGTTTAATATATGGTTTTGATTCATAGTACTTTTGAAGACATTTCAAAATCTTTCGTAAGATGGTGAAAGAGAATTCACTACGATGCAAGCACTAGATAATTAACAGAAATTACTCTATGTATTTCTCTCAAGGTTCCTCAGCTCAGGAATATATATAATTCTAACTTATCCTCATATAACTTCTTGTTAGATTTGAACACGGGTATCGGGGAGTTTAGTGGGGGCAAGGTAAATTGTATGGAGGAGTCCACTTTGCACTATATGAGTTGAGCGGGAAAAATTTTCATTTTAGTAACAAACTAATTTTTTTGTTTACATCCTAAAAAGTAATATAGTATGATTGTTTTGTGACAGAGGGAATATAAATGTTGTAAATAAAAATTAGCCTATTGTTTGTCTCATCAGTTTCAAAAAAACCAACAAAACATCATTAATAGAAACCTAAACCTAAACCTACCTAGGATGTTATCTTAAAGATCTCTTGAAATTTACACTCTCTTCATCTCATACATATGCAAATCCATACATTATCTAGTGATGAATGACAAAGGAGCATAGAAAAGAAATAAGAAGAAAAATAAAATGTCTTTGTTGCTAATTAAGACAACACAAAATAAAATGAACTAAGGAAAAAAAAAAAAAAAAGATTCGTTACAACCTCAAGTTTAGATCAATACTTTCTCCTACTTCAGTATTACAACTACTATGACTAGCTGGTGGTGACGACGGCAATGTCGTTGCTTGCAACTTTGTTGAGGGAAAGAAGCTCAACAAATTAGGCTGCTGGTTCGAACCGGCTTGTCTTGACTCCATAACTGTGTCTTCAATACTTACCTTAAATTTTCGGAACAAAAAAGGGGTCATTAGAAAATTGTGTAATTGGTGTACCTAGACAAAGAGAAAAGATAGATTGACATAATGTCTTACTTGGTAAGGTAAAGTATCAAGTTTGCAAAATTGCTTTAATCTCGAATTAAGAAAAGATGAAGTAAGTGTTGTAGGTGCCAAGCTAAGTAATTCTCCTTTATGAGAATTGCCATTTTCTGATTTATTGATCTTCCTTGTGTTCGCTGGCTCAGCAGGAATTGTAATGGGGCATGGAAGTATGTCGTCTCTACTAAAAAATCGCGCATATGAAGGGCAAAGAACTCGTTATTCAAGCTAATTAAAAGAAACTAACTACACCAAAGGACTAGTCATGACATTTTGTTTAGGTAAACTGACCTGAAAATTGGATTGCTAGAATAATCCAAGTTGTATGTTGTCGTTCCTCCATTTCCATTTGATGTTGATTCATTTGATCGGCTCAGGGGATGAGTGACAACAGGAGCGAATTTGCTGTGAAATGTCGGTATTGAAGGGTTGTCTAGAGGGAAAGGACATGACCTCTTCATACCAACCATCATCTATACTACATCAAAATCAAAAATTTTCATACATTAATTCTTTAAGGTTTAAACATTCATAAGATGGAAAATTGCTTTAAAAACACAAGTCACTTGAAACATGATTAACAAAATCAATCTATGTAATTACATGCAAACTTAATTTAAGTACCCATGTCGAATACTTCATAATTTAACACGGATATGATCACTCGTACACTTTAGCTTCAGCAAAGTCATTCAAGGAATTCTTTTGACATTAAAACTAGCTCATCATATTAAATCAATGCCAAGATTAATCTAATTCTATGTTACGGAGTATAATTTTGGTATTCGCATAATCGTATTGATCTAGTCTGGTCATGTACAATGTATGGAGTTATCATTGAGCCAAAATCAAAATTTAACTACTAATGAAGTTGTAACTTGTAAAATGCAACGTAGATCTTCTTTTGGGGGTCTTCAAATCAGTTTGAATCTAGTAATCTATTCAAGGTAACATGATCATCTAGTAATCTAGTAATCAGGCAAGAATAACTGATCGTGTTCAAGATAATGTGCATGTGATAAGTTCAGTGAATACAGGATGTTCTGTGCTCATGTACTAAACGTGAGCTTGAATCTCGTAATCTATTCAAGGTTAATTATAACATGTTAGCGAAACATGTAGGCAACATATACCAAAGATGTCGCGAAATGGTCATCTTCCTCCTATCATTCTGTTTTAATCTATGAAGGTAAGTCTAGGCAAAAAATGATTGTCAATCAAAGAAATGCGCGTTCATGATGCATTTACTAGGCGCGATAGAGAGAGGATAGTGATACCTTTTCCTCATCGGGCCACAATGGTGAGTAATTCGCATAAAAGCTTTGGTTTGAAGGGGGCTCCATTGGAAAATTGAGCACAGATGATGAAGACAAGCCAATCACCTATATAAATTCAACATCAAAATAGACTAATAACATAATTAAGATATATTCACAAAGTGTACTCGAAAAAAGGAAAAAGAAAATTTGCATGATTTTTACCAATGAAGAAGGTGGTTGATGTTGTAGTGTACTCCTTGGTAGCACATCAGGCAAAGGAGCAACACTACAAGTCTCAAAAGGTAAACTCAAACCCGGAGGAAAAATCGCGTTCTCCCCTATATGATCATGACTAATTTCATGAGGGTTTGCATGCCACAACTTAGGAAAATTAACATTTCCATGGACCGGGATTGAAGGCCATCCAACTTGGAACCCATCATTGGTAGGACTCAAAGAAGGGACCGGACCTAAGTGAAAATTCTCGGTATTGGGCAATGAACAAGCCCTAAAAACCGGATTTGGAGACGACAAATTCATTGGGATTGGAGGAGGAGATGGAGGACTATAAGGGGGGACACAAGATTTAGATGGGTTTTGGTTATTAGTAATTGCGAAATTGGGTAAGGGAATACCATGATGTGACGGCGAATATGTAGGAGAAAGTTGGGACGAAGATGAAAAATTGTTGCCATCTTTCTTTTGTTGTTCTTCCATCCTAATTTTCTCAAGTTGAGCCACTCCTAACCCTCTTTGTGGTAGATCTTCCTGAATCATTTCTTAATTCCTTCTTCTATCTATCACCTCCTCGATTTCGATATCTATATAATAATTACATGTCTATATATATGTACAGAAAATTGACTAAATTTAAATTTTTTTGATTAATTCCAAAACCCATGATTGATTCTTGAACAAAAAAAATTAAGATAAAAAATATTTTATATAGTAAGAAATTACTAATAATAGTAAGAGGATCTTAAGTGGATCATTCACTACAAACTAAACTATGATTCAATCTACACAATACTTTTGAAGAAAACCCAGATTCTGAAATGAACAACAAAATTTTCATATTTATTTTTTAGAAATAAATAAAAAATAAATTGATTTTTTACACAATACTTTTGAAGAAAACCCAGATTCTGAAATGAACCAACAAGATTTTCTTTCTTGGATACATATCTCAAATTCTCAAATTTTAAATCTCAACGGCTAAAACCCAGAATTTTTTTTTTTTAAAAAAATTAAAATAATAATAGAGTAAACTTTTTTTTGAAGAAATAATAGAGTAAACTTGATGAACCCAGAAAATAAGGAAATCCCAAAATATGTGAAAATCTCTCAAAAATCAGACAAAACAATTTTTAAAAACAGTAAAAAAATGAAACTAAAGAAGAAAAATTAAAGTATCTAAATATTAAAAATATAATCAGAAATTATAGGAAAATAAAAATATAGAATAAAGAAAATATAACATTTATTCGCATTAGATGTCGCCCAAATCCTCGCTCCACCCTCCTGATTTTGCTGCAAATCTTGTAAATTTTATTTTTTAATTTTAATTAAATTATTTTAAAAAAATCGATAGAAAAATTTGGACCGCCTTTTTTTTTTTTTTTTTTTTTAAGAAAAAAAAAATTGGACTGCCTTATTGTAGGAGATGGAGTAGTGTTTAAAAAGCATGGAATGTGGGGGTCCACTAGCTGCATTACCTACCAAATACTTTCCTAATTTGGAATTAAATGGATTCTATATGATTCACACATGATCCTAAGTTGCTTCTCTTTTGTGTCATCTCCCCTCCTCTTTTAAGATGCTAACACATTTTAGTTTAAATCCTATTTAATGTAAATCCGTGTATTAAAAAGAGTGAAAAAAGTAATGTATGTATATACTAGATAGCTGTGATTAATGTTTTACTAATTTTCAACTAAAAAGAGTGAATAAAGTAATGTATGTAGATACTAGATAGCTGCGATTAATGTTTTACCAATTTTCAACTAAAAAGAGTGAATAAAGTAATGAAAGTAGTAATCTATTAACTATTAATAAAATAAAACGTTGCTGACATCATCACTGTTCATATGTCACTCTCATAATAAATAAAAAAATCCGCCTAAATGCAAAGATGATGTTTTTTTTTTTTTTTTTTTTTTTGGGAGCTATCATATTTAATAATTTTAAAGTTTGAATATTAGAAGCTTTTACATTACAACTACAGCCCATCAATTTATCCTTAAAAAATGAAATAATTTTAAGTAGCACACTAATAAATAGACTCCTAGATTAAAATATGTATTACGCGACGCTGAACAGGTATTATATCATAATTTTGATGAAAATAAAATTTTAAAAGTACAGATATTTTTGTACAAGGTGCAAAATTATTATTTATATTTATCCATTTTTTAAAAATGTACTAATTATTAAAAAAAAAAAAATTAGATTTTATATAAACCGTGCATCACACGGATTCTAACCTAGTTGTGACTATTCTTTATTACTAAATTTTCAATGAAAGGATTTTATACTATAAGGTTGCCTAAAACTTTTCCTCATTTCACATATGCCTCTTAAAAGGAGAAAAAAAAAAGTCATTTTTTTTCCTCATTCACCCCCCAATTCTCCTATCGATTCCAACCAATAAAATTCCCCTTGCAATGGGACTAAATGACAACATTAAGAAACTTGATGAGCTTCACGTACAAGATGTTCAACCTTACCGCCTCCTTTACTATCGCACATTAGGGTGAACACAATTAAGTACCCGAACAATAATTTAGGAACAGAGCTAGTCAAGAATTGGGTGGAGTTATTTCCTAAAATTTGTAGGAGCCATCCGCAGCTCAACGAGATCCTATCTATGGAATTGGAACTAATCAAATTGGAACTTGGAATCCATCGTGTTGAGTACTAGTTCTAGAGTAACTACATATACATATGTGTAAGTTCGCCTTTTGATCAAATTAATAAATTGAATCATCATGTCTCCCAAAACATACCCGATGATTGAAGACATACAACTCGTCTGATTTTGAATATGAAGATGGACTAAAAAAATGTCAATGAACCTTTCAAATTGATCCCAATAGTTCAAATCTATTTCAAAGTCCATTCCAAACCCTTATAGCTCTATTAAACCCAATTTCCTCGCAATTATCAATAAACATTAGTTTAATTTCCTTTATTGACCTAATTTCATTACCTTAGCCCAAAAACAAGCTTACCGTACACAAATTTTTTTTGATTATTTCCATGACATTTATTTTGATGAATAGCTCTTGGGTTAAGATTTCCAATGATAGATTATAAGCCTAATTCCATTTCAGCGTGAAGGAGATATAAGCAAAATAGTCTAACCGACCCCAAAATCGATACTTTATACTATTTAAGATTTCAATTAGGATTGAAATAAGCCTTCCAACGATGTATTACATACCCTATTTCAAAATTGAAATCAAAAGCCTATGATGCTCTAAATGTGCTAGAACCTAACGTTTGACCTAGCATAAGACGCCAAGAAGGTAATTTTGGAGATTGATAATTTCCATCTTTCAATGATAATTTTTCTGCCTGAACCGATTTGATCCACCTATAAATAATACCAATATTATTGGCCTTAAACCCTCCCTAAACATCCTTCAAATCAATTTAAAGTTTGTTCAAGTCGATTTCAAGCCATAAGCGATATAATCCTTCGATCCCAAGTAGTCTTCTTTTAATCTCTTGATGTTTCAAAGTCCATTCAAGGTTCGAATTCCAAGTTGTTGTTGATTAGAAGATTACATTTTGTCATATTTTTCATTTCCTCCTAAAATTATGCTAGCCGTTTTGCTTGATTAATAATCATCAATTAGATGTTTTTAGCTTAATTGGAGTCCAGATTCATTCCCTTTGTGTCTAGCTTTCGTTCATATTGGATAGTTATGTCAATTGGGCAAGTCAAATAGGAGATCCACACCCCATCACTGTCCCAGTGGGACGAATATGGGTCCCGATTTGACGAGTGATGAGGTGGGGTGGGGTTGGGAATAAATTAAAATCATGCTGACCATGGGTGATAGGGCATGGTAAATTTTAGGTTTTACCCACCCCATCACTAACCCACCCTACCTAACTCACTTTGTACCCATCCTATACCCTCATCCATATATTTAACAAAAATGTATATTTTTTTTAAATGAATTATATGAACATATTAGTAAAATATAATAGTATACTAATAATACAATAAAGAAAAACAAATGTGTAACTATAGACACCAAAATGTGTCTCCTAAAATAAAACTCGATGATTAAACAAAATTCAGTACCTAATTTGGCTAGGATTGCATGGTGGACTTAATAATTACTTGAATCATCCTCTTGTCCTAGTTTATTTCCACTTACTGGCCCATTTAAGCCTTTTCATTTGCCCAAACACTTTGCTTAACCCAAAATCCATAAACCTTAGCCCGATTTTCTATTCTCATAATCGCATCTCGAAACAACTAATCTGATTTCTAACCTTGCATTGGAAATCTAATATGAAATTTATATGGGAAAATAGCCCTTGAAGTGAGATTTTCATTGATATTTCATAAGCTCAATTCCGATTTAAAATGAAGGAGATGTGAGTAAAATACTTCTAATTTAAACTCGGCTTAAAACTAACATCCTTGCACTATTTCGGCCATATCTTAAAAATAACAAAAGATATTGACCGGCCTGATTGTAATTGAATTAGAAAGTAGATTGTTAGATATTTCCAACGCTATATTATATGCCTTGTTACAATAGCCGTCCAAATGACTACAAGATCATCGGTCTACTTTACCAATGAACGAATCGAAGAGAGAGTGGCAAATCATGTTCACCAAGCTAAGAAATTGCCTGAAATTGGATCTTGGTCTATTTGAGATTTTTTTTTTTAATCGTAATTAAAGATGTTTTCTTGTCTCTTTTTTCTTTTCTGAACAAATAGAAGAACCTAATGAATTGAACTTATAAAAAAACCCGTCTATTATAGTTATTCAAGATAGGAATTAGCCTATCTATGTCCACGTTTCGTTCCTAATTCAATAAGGACTTACCCTATTAAGAATCTTTTGCGATGTGATCCGTTTACTATTCTTTCGTACTTTCTTATCTTTACCACGCGATAGGTTAGCGAAGCGTGAACGGGTGTGAAGAAGAAAAGGCCAAACACTTAAGCGTAATGCTATGTTGACACACACATGTCAAAAATAATTCATAGCAAAACCTTTAAGTAGGGTCGAATCTACAAGGAGATGACTAATCAATCTAACTTCTAAGGATTTGGAGAAACTAATTATGTCACGAAATTGGGATAAAAAAGTCTAAACAGATGAAAATAAGAATAAAATTAATAAAAAAAGGTCTAGGGTTATGGTTCACCGTGTTTACAGTTTTAAATCTATCAAAATACCATTAAGAATTCAATTAATCAAGTATCTAAAGCAATTGCTAATAAGCCTATGGTCAGGTCTTAATACTTTCAATTTAACAGTATATATGCAGTACAAACGCTAACATAATCAAAATTGGTAATGGTAGGTAGCCTATAAAAGTATGACCTTTTGATTGAAAATCTTATTAACATGAATCAACCAAACATTTGATTAGGTTCCAAAATTAACAATAGAAACACTATCAATTAGAGAAATCAATAATCAAATTGTCAAAATCATAAATCAACATGGATCCAAACCCTAGAAATAAATTACTCAAAAATGGAAGAAACAATTAAAACTGATCTAAGAAAAAACATAATTAAAAGCAATAGATAGAAATAAAAGTACCTTAATAAATTGAAATAATAAACCCAAGAATCGTTCATGGAAGAATCCATGGAGATGCCATCAGAAACTATGGTTCAAAGGAAACTAAAATGAACGCACGTAGTATGAAATAATAAAAGGCTTAAGGGAAAATAGAATAATCCCTTGAGATTTATATTATTCAAAAATTCTAATCTAAAAAATACTTAAATTAAAATCAGTAAATAGCAATCACATAAGTCGTTTTACGATTGGTCGATTAAAGGCGACGAGTCAAATTGTAGACGATGAGTGCTTGCACTAGTGGGAAGACGAGGCCGTTGATGCCTTACTGTGCTCACCCAAACCAGCGCCCGTTTTCTGGCAAGCGAGCTGACCAGAAGGTCCTTAACGGGTTGCTTCGTCGAGCTGCGGGCATTGGTCCATATTGTCTTCTTTCATGGGTTGTATCTCGAGTTATCGGAATCTTATAGGTCATGTGACCTATCGTTAGAAAGTTCTTCAAGCCTAGTTTCCAACCTAACTTGAATCAAATCAATCCGATTTGTAGAACTCAAGTTATGATAAAAACAAGTGCGCAAGAGTGACACATTGTTCCTTCACTAACGTTTTGCTTTGTTTCCAACCCAAATTCAATTTTGAAAGACACATAGTGACCTTTGTGGATGCCACCTTCATATATCAGGCATAAAATACTCAAAATCAACACCCACGAACATAAACTTTTCAATCAATGAACTTGATTCATCGACTTTCCTTCCAAATATCATCAGAATCAACTTTAAACACTTCAAAAGCATCCAAATGATTATGAAATTAATCACCTAAAACATTAAGAAATTACAACAGAAGAGTAATAGAGAGCAATGTGACAACTTATGCAAATGTGACCTAAAAAGCTACTAAAAGATCTACAAAGGAACTATAAAAATAAGGAAAAATGAAAAATAATAATCTCACCTTTACTCTATCTTCCATAAACAATCCCACCTTTCACCCCTCTCTTCCATTAACGA